GAGGTAACCATGCTTTTAATTTGTGATTAGTGTTACTTCATGTTAATTGGGTGATTATTGAGAAAATTATGAATTTTGTAATATTGTATAATTGTGCAATATTATTATGAATTTATTTGATTATTGTGAGAGGTGTTGGGAGACTTGCTATTGTTGTTGTATTTATGTGCCACGTGGTACGCTCCTATTGGAGCTCAATAGGTGGCTTGTAAGGGCTCGGGCTAATCTACCTTTGGTCGGGTAATTTAGCACCGAGTGAGGGCTACGGCTCGAGGTTAATAGAGAGATATAAGAATGGTTATTTGTGTATATTGTAATATTTCTTATATTTGTTGGAATTATATTGTTTTTAATTCTCACTTAATAAGCACACACTTAACTGTTTGTATATACTATTATAAATTGGCTATGGTTACTTGGACTGTTGAGTCTCATTATGTGATTAACAATTTTTAGGAGAAGAGCCACAAGTGACACGTGGAGGAGTCTCAGAGGCTTAGTGGCATATATTCACTATCTCTTTTGAGTATTTGATTTATGATTTATAATGTGCTATATTGCCAATATTAGGGCTTCTTGTTTATTGACAATTATATAAATATATAAATGTAATCATGCCTTTCAAACTATTTCTATTTTTGGTATACTTTAGATGACTGTAATTTTAATATTTAATTTACTTTGGAGTGGTTAAAATGGCATGATTATAAGGCTAAATAACTGGTTTGTATTAAAAATTGACTAAATTGTTTATTTTACTTGTTGGGAGTATAAGGATGTCTAAATATGATTTAGTTTACTTGTTGGGAGTATAAGGATGGACAAATGTGATTTAGCCTACTGGCATGTGGGAGGTAAAAATTTATCTGAAATGTTATATTGTGTGAGTTGAAGCCAATTATAAAATATTTTATATTGAAATTATTGATATAAAAATGTGTTGGGTAGCTGTAACCTAACTATGGTTGAGTTAAATTATCTAAAAAAAAAATTTGGTGTGTTACACTCTCAACTAACAATATGAATTAAAAGTTCATCAAATGCATTCATAAGATATTACAAAATATTTGTCAAACACAATTACTAGCCAAAATGAGAATTATTAAATTTCATGTTTTATCTGAAATGCTCTAATGATTATAAAAGAAAATGAGATATGCATGAAGCATGATAAGGTTAACTGGTTCCAAATATAAATGTCTTAAAAAAGGAGCAAATAATTAACACAATCATGTTGAGGAGGCAAACACTTTAAGCAACAACAAATAATTAAAGACAGGGCATAATTAATCATAAAAATCTCAGAAGAGGTTAAGCAACAAAAAGGTTTCAAAAATTTATGTCACAATTGAAAAAATAGAGTGAAAAACATAAAATTATTGACAATAATTTTAATAATAATATCACATGATCAACTGAAAATATAATATAGAAATATGATAATATAAAGTAGATGGAAAGATGTTTAGCCAGTGAAAAAGAAAAGGAAAATGACACAATTTGAATAAAATTACATTTATTTTAAACATATGAAAATTCATGGACTTGTAGTCCAAACAATTGGAGTGTAAAATTATTATGAGATATATGAATAGTTATGTGAAATTAAGGGCTTTCACAATGATGTAATGATGATCATGACTAGAGATGTTATCTTGTGGTGGATATTTGTATATATTATTAGTTTGACATTATATGAGATTGAAATATAATGCATCTATTATATATTATGGCATATGCATATGATTCATTGAATATTGAAATTTACATGATAATTGTTGGAGGATTCAAAAAAAGAAAAAAAGAAAAAGAAGAAGAATGCTAGAAGTGTGACCAAAATAACTATTTGTTATGTGGATTTAACTAATTCGAGTCCATATAACTAACTCAGTGGATATGCATGAAAAAATATGTATAATTTTATAAATTGAATCATTAAATATCTTGATGATTTCAAAATCATTATATTTTTTTTGATAATTTTGTCTGTAAAAAATGTTGAATTTAATGGTATATAAATATCACATATTCTATGATAATATTTACATAAGCAAAATTAAGTCCATGGAGGTATATAAATGGAAACTGAAGCGAAGGTTTTGTACAGTTCTATGAAACTATTATATAAAATTATTTTGTTCAATAAACAAATTGAATAAATAGATATAAGATATATCACAATGATTTTCATAATAAATATAGTATATATTGATAATTCAACATATTCAGAAGATATATTAGAAGAATATGTATGATTAAAATATATCATACAACAATCACTTTTGAGAAATTAACATTTTCTATTGAGATACAATAATAAAAAGTGATATCATTACTAAGGTGAGTAAAATTGATATCATTAACAGAGGAGGTAAAGTACATGCTATACTCTTTTTTCTATAATCAAGGTTTTTGATAAGATTTTCAATGAGGTAGCTTTATTATATACTCCTCCATTTCTATTTATAGAAAAAAAATCAATTTTTTCTTTTTTTTAATAAGAAAAATTACATTTTTCAGCAAGCATTTATTGTAAATTTTTTAAATCATCCCTCATAATTTTATCATTCATAGTCATAAGAAATAATTAATGAATGCTTGATTAGCACAATTGACGAAGGGTATTATAGTCTAATTTTTTATTTTTAGACACAATTAATATAATCAATTGATTTTGTTAAATCGTGTAATATAATTTTTTTCTCCTACAGATAGAAATGAAGGAAGTATTGTGTACTCTTTTTTTTTTTTTCATTAGGATTTTATCCTATTAGGTTTTCCTAATAATGTTTTGACGAGACATAATATTTGTTTATAGACATATAAGGAAGAGTGTTATAAATATTATAATATAATTATGAATGTCAATAACCTTTTAAGTTATCATTTGATATTTTTCAATTAAAGATAGATAACTTACCACATGACTGGCCTATTAAAAGTTTTACATATGTCATATAATCTACAATTATATAGATTAATTATTTATAAATTACTATTGTAGTAGAATTTAAAGACTTGTTGCTTACAAATACGAGGCATGTACCAAGTAATTGGTAGCTTGCTGTGTATGAGAATCGCTTTCTATCTCCTCCCCCAATTCTTTTTTATTTTTTTTTTCATTTTTTTATCTCAATTTCTTATATTTTTTTTATTTTCATAACACAGAGTTTTTTCCCCTATATAAGTAATTATACTCTTTCTCACTAATCCATGTAATTGACATCGATATTCTGTTATATAAGTTAATAAATTTTAACGATGGAACATCTTTTTTAAAAAATAAGGTTAATAATCGAAATAAATTTATTGAGAAAAATTAAACACTAAAAAAAATTTAAAAGAACTAAAAGTTATGTTATTTAAAATAAAAATTGACAAGAGTTATTTGAAGGCGTCGTCATTTGTAAGAAAAACGGAAGGCACCATTCGACCGACATGCCTTGCCATTCTTGCTGGAAGGATGGTACGATCAACGTCTTTAATGGAGGGAAATGTTGTGCCCCCCCTGTTTTTCCGGGAGACGATTTCAAATTTAATTTAATTATTTACATTTCAAATAAATTTTTATTCTACTAGATATATATATATATAACCTAAAATAATTAATAACAATCTTGTAACTGTAATTTTATAAAAATAAATTTATTATCTAAAAAATCGCGCATTAAAAACCTCAAAACCAGATTATCCAAATTAAAACCGAACGGGTCAGATATGATGAAGGACCATGGCTATACTATGTCAATTTTTGTGTGATCCAGTAAACAGGGAACGAGAAAGAATCTAATTTGTTTGTAGACATGATTGCGAGGCATGTAACATATTTTAATGAAATAAAGGTCGAGTATCCAAAAGCGAAATCCAATAAATCAACATGCAGTACAAGTATATCAGTAAGTTTCCTTTCCTTTTTTTTTGGCCAATCAAGTACTTCCTTGATACTATATATATTAATCACCTTTTAAAAATATAATATGATCTACTTTATAAGTTATTAATTAATAATAATATTTTATTTTAAATTAAAATTTTTAAATTATATTTAAAAAATAAGAGAGAGAAAAATAAAAAAATAATATAATATAATATTATTTATTTTTATTTTTTACTTTTTATTATATTAATATTGATAAGATTAATAAAAATAATTTGTAAATAAATTCAAAGAGAGTGGGTTAACAATTGGAGAGCAGGCGGGACGTCTGGTTAAACTGTTCTGGTACTAATATTGTTCATTTCCATTTGATTTTATTCATCTCTTTTAAAATTAAGAAAAGACGTTAAGTTATTAAAATAATTAAAAAATATTTTAATTTTTTTTAAAATAATTGATTGAATTTTTTAAAAATAAAATTTTCTAAAATATTTGTTATATAAATAAAATAACTAGATCATCGTCTTGCTACAGCTTAGCTTTGGGTAGATTTGGCGAGGCGGCGGGAGGACTTGAATTGACTACCAAGGAGGGCCCCTTGCTTTAGTCCCCAATTCAGCTCCCTCCTCTAGACTTGCCATTGTCATTGACACCATGATCTCATCTTCATCTTCGTTCCCAATAAACCTTTTCATCATCATTCTCGGCTCACTCGCTCTTTCATTGTTCCACGTGTCTATTTCACGCCCCGGCCCCCACTTGCTCTTCTGTTCTCTTGCTTTCCTACACGACACCACACTACAAACCCCTACAACAAGCAAACTGTGATACTCACCCAACTACTCCAATAATCACTTTCAACCTAAAAACCACTCAGCCAGTTCACACCCAACACATTACCCATCTTTGTTTTCCTCAAATAAAGGAAAAACAGTTTTCCATGCTTTTAAACTTTCAATTTTGCCAAAAAGTCAAAAACTTTAATTACTTAATACATTTTATTATACAAGTGATATTCATTGCCCTCTGCGTGGAGCTTTATTTATAGGAAAAGAAATGCAAGGCTGGTCTGCCTGGACAATGCTCTCGCTCACAGGTGGAGGAGCATTTTTAGGAGTAAAAGAAAGAAATAGAAAAAGGCGGGACGATAATTGATAACGGATGTGATCATGTGAAAGAATAGTTGGGAATCGCTGAGGGACAAAGTTGATCCTTCCCTTCATTGTCAGGGTACGACCGCCTTGTGAAATGAGTTGTCTGGGTTCCTCCTCAGGTCACTGTCCTCGCCACTTCACCTTCCCCCAAACCTTCCTCTCCTCGGTTTTCGTCTCCTTTTCTAGTGTCACCTGTTTTTTTCACAATTACTGTATCATTTTAAAATTGCCGAAGGGGCCCGATACAAGTATCTGCCAAAGTTGTCTGCACCATATTCTTATCCTCTTTCACCTGATCGTCTCTCCTACTCCCCTCTCTCTCACGCTCTCCTTTTTCATCCCTCACCACCTTTATTTTCAGCCTTCTAAGCGCAGTAAGGCCTGTACTCCTTTCCAAACGTGTAATCGAGGTTGCGGCCTTTCTGGTCTGTCGTGGCCGCTTTTCTAATTCTCTTCCTGTTCCTCGTTTAATTTGCTTCTCTGCTCGATTTCCTTTCATTTCTTGATAATTTCTTGTTCTCCATAAATCGAAGAGAATTTCCCACTGCAGTCTTAATTTCTTCCGATGAGCGGTGCGTTGAGTGGTTCTGTTGAGGGCTTTTCATCCTTCGCGGTTGAAACTATTTGCAGCGAAATTTCTCAAGCACTTGAGGTGCGAAAACTGAGAATCCTGTGATTTATGAGGTCCCGTGTCCTTGGAGTTGGAGCCGTTGGAAGAAGCAAATTATTGAAGATTGAGCTGGTTGAAATGAAAAATGAAAAGTCGGAGGAACGCATCCTGTGAGTGGAGTCTCGAGATACTCGGCGGTTACGATAAAAAGTGCTAAACTTGTGGTGCACGAGTTGAAAATGGAGGCATCGAATCAGAAGTCTCTGGAGAGAGTGGTGTCACAGAAGGCTCTGCAAATGGGAAGCTCTTTTCCATGTCAAATTTGCGTGGTGGGATTTCTCTGCGGAGTCTGCCTCGCCTCTTTCTTGTTGGCTGCTCTTACTTCCTTCAGCTCTTTTCAAATTGGTCCGCTGTCATTCTCTTCCATGTCCTTAACTAATTCAAGTTCCGGCGTTTTAAGTAAGTCGATTTCTCCTTCGTCATTTCTGTTGATTCTTATTGATTCTTGGTTTTCATACAAAAGACTCTGCAACTGGTTTTTGAGTTCTGCTGAGAAGAAGCTAGGAAAACAGGGATTTTTCACTTTTGTTGTAGGGATTGAACCGATGTTATGATGAATTGTTACCCTTTTCCAAAGTTGAGTGAAAAGAAAGATTCATTACGCTTCGGTTCAGATTCTCATGAAGGGAACTTGATGAGAATAATCTGAGTCTTGTACTTGAAGCGACTTTAAATTATAAACGCTTTACGTTAAGCGTACTCTATCAAGTAATTGCTGTACTTTTTTTTTGACTTCTGACTACTGCTGCAGCATAGATTAGGGATAATATGCACTTGCCACTGCGTAGTATTATTGTTCATCTACAAAAAAAATTCAAGTTACGAGGTGATGATAAGAAATAAAAATTATAGAATAAGGGAAGCAGGTCAATATAATGCAGGGCCTCAGCGATTGAATTAATTATAGACTGGATGAAACTATTCTTCGTTTTTGTTAGGTAAGGTTACAGCTACGGGGTGTGATTTGAAACTGAAGGAAACAGAGAGATTCACGGATTTGAAGATAAGTAGAGAGAGAAACAGCGATGGGAGAGTGTCTTTACTTTACTCAGCTTGGAGTGGTTTGTTGGCCAAATCTTCAAGTGAAACATTTGAGGAGCTGCAGAAACTTGGAATTAGTAGGTCCAGCTTGCCGAGGGCACCTCATTTGGAAGACTGCAAGGTGACAGCAAAGCTATACGAGCGCCTTGATAAGCGTACTGGGAATGAGAGCTTCCCTCCATGGACTAGTTGGAAAGGATTCTTGCCTGCCTACCCTGCTTCTGCAAACAATGCTCACATTCAATATTTTAGTCACAAGGCTGCATCTGACGGCGCTTATCCTCCCTGGGTATGCGTCTTAAAATTTGTATGCGTCTTATAATTTGTCTTAGGTTCAAAACCGAATGGGAAATATGTCCTCCGTCTGCTTTTCCCTTGTTCACAAGGCAACAACTCTATCTGTTTAGCTTGACTAATTTTGCTACTTAAACATGGTTTCTAGCTCTGGGAGATAATCATTCGGCTAACAACCTGTAGATGTTCAAGGAAGATTTTTGGGCTTGATTTTAGCATCAAACAAGATAGGCTATTGTGATTTATTAACAATTTGCTGACATGGGGCACTTCCGCAGGTTGCAGGATCTGATGAAGAAAACTATCCTTTGACTAGAAAAGTGCAAAGAGACTTGTGGATGCATCAGCATCCACTGAACTGCCGCGACTCAGATGTCAAGTTCCTTGTAGCTGACTGGGAAAGGTTACCTGGGTTTGGCATGGGGGCTCAGATTGCTGGAATGTGTGGACTTCTTGCTATTGCAATCAGTGAAGGAAGAGTCCTCGTCACCAACTACTATAACAGGGCTGATCATGATGGTTGCAAAGGTATGCTATGGTCATACTTCTAATACTTTATCTTGGAGCTTGTTGATGAACAATAAACAGTGAATTGGACAATACTATAAACTACCAATCCTTTATGTTCAGGGTCTTCCCGGTCTAGTTGGAGTTGCTACTTCTTACCTGAGACATCCCTGGAATGCCGCAACCGTGCTTTTGAACTACTAAAAAGTGAAGAGGCGTTGAGAAAGGGAGTTGTGACCGCTAAAGAAAATTATACATCAAAACATATATGGGCTGGACCAACACCTAGGCAAGCTCTTGCAACTTCAACATCAAATATTTAAGCAGCTTTTAGACCGAGAATCTGTAAATAGAAGTTTTTTTTCCCCCTTCTAGTGACAATATATGCTTGCAGGATATGGGGTGAGCCTTGGAAGTATTTGCAACCAACAACTGAAGTAAATGGCAGCCTGCTTGCTTCTCATAGAAAAATGGATAGACGGTGGTGGAGAGCACAGGTAGGCTATCATACATGCCGAATGGAGTTATTTCGCCATTTTAGTAGTCTGGACCTAGCTCTATTAACCAATGTTGTTATTGTACACGATCCCTTTTTTTTTTGTATGATAAGTGTTATTTCACTCCGGTTCATAACACGGGCAATCTTTAGCACTTCAATACTTTAGGGATGACATTGTGATTATGTTTATGGGAAACATGTAATGCTGCGTTACATGATGTCGGTGTTGCTGTTAATTTTGTTTGCAGGCAGTACGCTACTTAATGAGGTTCCCAACTGAATACACGTGCAATTTATTGAATGAGGCCCGTCATGCTGCATTTGGTAAATTAGCTGCCAGAATGGTTCTTGGCGGTCTAGCGGGAGACTGGCCAAAGGTTTGTTGCTTGTCACTGTCAGCTTTTCGTTAGTTTATGTACTTGAAGTATTCATCAAGACTAGTTCTGATGAGTTCTGATGATGAAGGTTTCGGGTTATGCAGAGGACTAGTGAGAAGCGAAGGTCTGATATTGATGATTATGTGTGGTCAAATCACAAGGCATGGGTCCCAAGGCCTCTTCTAAGCATGCATGTAAGGATGGGAGACAAAGCGTGTGAAATGAGAGTGGTGGAGTTTGAAGAGTACATGCAGCTTGCCCACCGGATTAGGAATCGATTCCCTAACCTTGACAACATCTGGCTCTCTACTGAGATGCAGGTGCTCATAACTTCATTGTTTGCTCGCTTCATAATTTTACATTAGATGTGGTCTAATGAAACTTGGATTCAGGAGGTGATCGACAAAAGCGGAGAATATCCTCATTGGAAGGTTTACTATACGAAGATTATAAGGCAGGAGAGGAGTAACATGTCAATGGCGGATTACGAAAGGAGCTTGGGTAGGGAAAAGAGCACTAATTATCCATTGGTGAATTTCTTGATGGCTGCGGATTCGGATTTTTTTGTGGGAGCACTGGGTTCCACTTGGTGCTTCCTAATAGATGGGATGAGGAATACTGGGGGGAAGGTAATGGCTGGTTACTTGAGCGTCAACAAGGACAGGTTTTGGTAGAAGAGTCCATTCTTGTAAATAGGTCTATGGTCAACCAAACCCTTATTATTCTTTCTTTGTATGCATAGCAATGACAATGATAATGGTAATACACCCTTATCTCTGATGAGAGTGAACTAAAATTCGTTGGTGCTTGACATAGCGTTTGTACAAAATGTGTGGCGGCCCCTTTCTTCACAGGGAACTAAAATCTGAGGATAGGTGCATTTTAATAATGAAGACGTGAATGAATTTTACGAGTGAGTGAAATGCCAGGGAGCCGCAGGAAACATGAGCTCTACTGAGTTTGGCTTACTTGTTCATCTCATATCAATAATATGTAGTAAATGCAATGAGAAATTATAACTGAACTGAGAAATCGAATCGTCCTAATAATCAATAATTAGTATGCATGACATATAATTATAATTCAATTCATGGGAAACGGGTACTCCTGGTTATATTTACAAGTTATTTTTATTGGTTTTATCAATATCAATATGACAAATATATAAGGGATAAAAGTAACTGAAATTTTAAATATAACTCTCAAATGAAAAGTAAATAAATCATATATTATTCTCTCTCTCTCACATTTTAAGGGTAGTTTAAAAATTTTAATTTTAAAAAATAATTTTATTAAAGTAGATAAGACTACTTTTAAAAGACGCCTAATATAAAAGATTAGAAGAAGTACTTAGTTACTGCTATCAAGCGGGCAGAATCAACTTGTACGGGCTAGTTTATGATGTTGAGTCCGAGGCCGCTGCTGTTTTTTTTGTTCTTTTTTAATAACCATCCAAAAGTTACCAAAGGGGGTAATCTGAAATCTCCTTTTACTAGAGTTCGTCGCCTTGGATCAAGACTGCGGCGTTGAGTCAACAAATTTTGCTTTTGTTGTCCACATCTTGTCCATACCGAGAGAGTAAAGTACATTTTCAACTGTAGGGGAGTATATACATCCAAGAAATCCATCAATCAAATTTAAACTTTAAATTAAAAATACATATTGTGGAACCAGAATTTGAAATAGATATCACAACATGTTGTGAGTATAGTCATTTCATCCATATGAGTGAACAAATTACATGGGTCATCGTAAAAAATCGTCCATGCGGAATAATTATCAAGTGGTATAATACCCAAATTTTGCACATCCAAAAAGTGAACAACACTCAGCTCACAAAAAGAGGAAGATCGATAATCAAGATATGGACGTAGGTACAATATTGGGAACTAAGAAAAATTAGACAAAAACAGAATATTGAAGGTGCCATAGACTGAGACCCTAGCTCTTCAATTTTACTTGACGGGGTGACGGTACAACAATTTCCAGAATCATAATTAAATCCAATATCACGAAAGGGGGAAATAAAAGGTCAGCTGTGCACAAAGAAAGACAATTATTCTCTTTCTTGCAACAATTTTCATGGCGAAATATTACCGGTAGATGGTTTCGTATTATTCTTCCACGTCTTCACCCGACTGATGCACTCCATCCCCACTTTTTGTCACAGTTTGCTTCCTATTTTTCTTACTTCTGGCTTTCTTGGCCTTCATACGGCGCTTCTTCTCACTGGCATCCACCCATTTGTAGTCTGAAGGTATGTTGAAAGGGTCAACTTCATCCTTATATCGGTGACTATCAGAGTCACTGGACTGCCCGCCACGACTTCCTCTCATCCATGAGATCCAGGATGTAGACCCCTCCGAATCCTTCCCTTTGGCATCCTGGAAATGTGCCGGGCTGGAGAGCGGAGTGGAGAACTCCTCTGCTGGCTGAAGTTCCTCAAATTTTGTAAAAGTAACAAGCACTCGTATAGTAGGGACTATAGGAATGGCAACCTGCATATCGAATGAGAAACCTTTGAAGCTTACTTGTGTGCAGAATATGCCACATTTAGAGAGCACCAAAGCGCCTTCAAGAATAAAGGGTTCTTTAAATACCGCAATGAAGGTACATGCAATCTGGCATGTTCACAACCCATTTAATGTTTGCGCTTTTTTTATCCCAATGATATGGTCAAGAGTATTGTTTAGACTGTCTAATGAGATTTCATGTCCATTAAAAGCTTGAAAGCCAGTGTTGGAGCGGTGTTTCCCTACCTAAAAGCAAAGGCTAAAACTAACAAGAGAAAAGTAGCCATGTCTTCCCCATGTCTAACCAAGAAATGTATCTTCAAAACATAATTGGCTGAAAGGCAGTCCCCTGAGAAGACACTAAAAAAACCAGGACATTCAACAAGAGGCTTGTAAAAGTAAGAGAGCCAATTCATTAAATATAATTTAATACAAGTTCCAAGTGTTTAGGAAAAAAAAAAGATTAACCCAAAAAAAAAAAAATTTACTAATCATCAACATCTCCACTAATAAATAATATGAAGTTCAAGCTGTGATTTGACCAAGCAATGAAAACGTATCTTCAGAAATGACCACTGTACACTCAATGCTATTAGCAACAAGCAAACATCAATTTGAACCAAGACAGACAGAAACCAGAGCAATATGTAATGTTATTACACTGCCACTCAAACAAAAATTTAATTCTTTGATGTTTTGATAGGCTAACCTGAGTAACTGCCTAAGCATGAGTTTAGATTAAAAAAATCTGCAACTGATGCAAAAATCAATTGAAGTTAGCAAACTAATGTTAGGGAAAAAATATGTAACTTTAATGTGATTTATGTTTAGAAACTTTTTTTCAAAAGTCAATTGAACAAAATGAAATTTGTTTAGATGGTTCGATTCAGAAACCAAAAATGTATAATGACAAAAATGAACATGAATTTTCTTATATACATTTTTGTGATTAATTTAATATTTTTAGGAAAAAATATTAAGCTGAAAATAAAAACTTTTTTTTAAAATTACAAATATAAAATACATTGATAAATCAAAAAGAGTTAAATGATAAAATTCAAAATACTCAATTATGAAAAGCTAAAATAAATTCATAAATTACAAAATATGAACAACAATTTTATTTTAAAGAGGTAGAATTAAACTTTAGATGATATAATTTAAAAATCAGTTTAGATATATAATGACAAAAAAGAATATAAATTTTATCATATATATTATGATTAATTTGATATTTTTAAGAAATATTAAACTTTAAATTATTACAATTATATTTTAAAAAGGTAGACTTAATTAAAAAATCTAAAATAGAAATTAAAAAGCAAAGGTTGCGCCCTTTGATCTAGAAACAGTACTAGCCATGGCCATGGAATGCCTCGTCTTGAAGACAGAACAAGAAACTCAACGGATGAACAAAACCCAACCTTGACAGAGCAGACACGACAACAATGTCGACGGAACCCATGACCTCCACGGACGGCAACAACAACAACTAGAGAAACAGTACGCAATGCCAGCCAAAAGAGATGAAGGCAAGTCAAGCAGCAGATTTCTACTTCTTGAAGAGAGAGGTGAGGACAAAAGAGAGAGACCTAACAATCAACTCACTTTTCTAACCGTGTTGCTTTAGAAGCTCATTCTTTGAGCTTCAGATTTGACAATCGTTTTCTCCAAAAGCTCTTCTGAGAAAATTTTTATCCAAACAAGATTAAGGGCCTGTTTGTTTCAACATATTTTTGATAAAAAAAAAATCTATTTTGTGATATTTTATTATATTTGTTTAAACTTTTAAAATAATCAAAATCCGCAAAAAAACAAATTTCTAATTATTTTAAGTTACTTTCAATAGCTTTTAAAAATAATCTGATACGGTAGATGAGAGAAAGCTTTTTTTAAAAGAGATGGGATATGTGAAGATATCATAAAATATTAAAATAATATATTAATAAATTATTTTTATAAAAACAAAACAAAAAAAGATATCATAAAATTTAAAAATAATTAATTAATAATCACTTTTTTATTATTGTAACCAAACATAAAATAATGTCCGTTTTTATAAAATATCTATAAAATGAATCTCTTTTCATAAAATATCTAAATTATCTAAAAATCACTTATTTTTTAATCTTAAACAAATAGGCCCTAAAAATTTTCTAATGAGCTTTTGACACCCCAACTGGTGTTTATCCAAACACACCCTAAATCAATCAACATGTACCTAATCCATGGTAGAACTAGTCTGACTGCCATGACATCCAAACTTTTGGGGTGTCTAGTAGAAGGAAAGGAAGAGCTTTCCCCTTCCATATTAAGATATATAATGTCCACTATTTCATGTGATAATTACATTACAATTATCATTTCTTATCGCTATTTTTTTTTATTAAGGGACACAAAGGACATTTCAAAACTACAAATTCACTTTTCAATTTCATTCCATTTTATCTTGCATGCTAAAAAGCCCCTAAGTCTCCTTGACCGAATAAATTTCCTCTTTAATCAGCACATGAAGCAGGCTTGTATTGTTCGACTATGGCTTGACAAGGTCCATCCATAATAAAAATAACAGTAATATCATGAAATCACTATTAGCTATCTTTGATCATAAATTAACATGGAGTCACGAACAGAATCATTATAGTGGCCACCTTATATATAGAACATGCCGATCAGAATTTTCGTCAAAGTTGTGACACTACATAACTTGACAACATCATCAGAAAATCAACATTTTCATCAAAGGATATATGCACTATGAAATTAAATGCAGTAGTTCATGTTATTCTTATAGAAATAAGACTCGAAATTTTAGCTTTTTTTATAAGACCAAAGATGAGTATAATATTGGGTCTAATCACTGTGTCTCTGAAGAGCCACTATATGATATATGAATTCAAAAAAGAAAAAAAAAATTTATTACCTTGACAGGAAATGTTCCTTGAGGAAGTTTAGTTGTCAAAAGTTCCCTGAGTCTCCTAACAGCCTTAACCTTGTTTGCTAAGATGTCAAGTAGTGGCAGGAGCTCATCTGTTTTCAAAGGAAAGTCGGGTGTCAACCACAGCACAGGTCTCAATCCCTTTTTATACTCGCTCTCGTTCTTAGACTCATTGACTACTCCTTTCTTCTTCTTCTTCTTACTGTTTTTATCCTTTCCCTTCTTGGCATCTCCAGCATCCTCCTTCAGAAGCTCAGATGCTGGCTTTTGTTGATCACCTGGTCTTTGGTTGCTACCTTCTGGGGCCATTTTTGAGAATTTCTTCAAAATTTTTGAATCTTCAGGATCATCACTGCCGCTCTTCGTGTTTTTCTTGTTCCAACCAAACCAGCTCTTCTTCTCTTTAACTACACCATTGGCTTCACAGTTCTCATAGGAAACTGCTGAACCATTTTCTTGACCATCAAACGACCCATGGTCCTCATCTTCACAAATACTCTCGGAATTCCCCATACGAAGCGCAGAATCCAATTGCATTCTTTCCTCAGCAGTCAATACATCATCATATCCATCATTATGTTCTCCATTGATCATGCTTTCTTCATCATCCGCAGCAAAAAGCTCTTCATCTGTCATGGCACCAGGAACCCGCCTTGACTTAACACTCACCATCACGTGAAGCATGTCATAAACTTTAGCCTTCCAATTGCCAACCATCTCGGTCTTCTCTTGGCGCCTCCAATTCAAATGGGGAACAAGCTCAGCCTGAGTAACATCAATACCTGGTCTATACATATTTGTTCGAGACATTAGGGAAACTTCATGGGCAACTTCAGCTTCTGTTGGTTGTGTACCAGCTCCTTCCAAGGCATTTGTGATTTCCTTCTCCTTATGGGCAAGAACAATCAAAGAACCAGGTGGTAGAGTTAAATTACCATCATCTGAAGTATATCCCTCTCCGAGGAACAAAAATGTCTGGTCTGACCGCTGAATGCGGAAGCCATCAAATCCAGCAAGGGTCATGTCTGCTCGAAGATTAGCACCACGTTTCCAAATGCGATATGTATCTGATGGGGCTATGCGCCCAATAAAAGGAATGACAGAGCTCTCAAAATGGAAAGTTATTTCCATGTAAAAGTCACGAATTCGAGCAGCTGAGGCAACAATGCGGGGCAGCCTACGACACCACTTGGCCCAAGCCAACGGTTGATAATGACGTGCCATAATCATGGCAATTGCTTCTTCTCTAGTGCAGACTGCTTCCTGGAGAGCACTCCAACCATTATCATTCTGCAGACTCCAATCCGCTCCAGCAGCCATTAGAATCTCAGCTGAGATGGGATCCCTGAGACGTACTGCAAGGTGGAGAGGGGTCTCCCTAGCGGGAACATCACGACGGTCAATAACCACAGAGACCTCATCTGCTCGTAGCTCAGCAGCAAGAGATTCAGCCTCTGTCTTGACCTCACCAGCCTTGGCAAGTCGAGGTAGGGCGGAAACAATTTGCCGTAGGGCCGCATGATCACGCCTAGCAACTGCTAAGTGAGCAGGACTGTGAGCATATTTAGATAAATCTTCCATGGATTTGTCCCCTACCTCTCTCTTTTCCCTTTTCGCTGTTCCTAGGCCACAATCATGAATGGTTCCATTTGCTTCCATCACAGGTAAATCTTGAGTTAAGAAGAAATGCTGCAGATTTCGCTCATAGCATTGCTATTCAGTTCAGGGACTAAAAGCAAATACTACTGTTGCACTCACTAGGGAAACTAGCCAAAAACCGCCCAACGAAAATAGAAAACTCTTTTATTCTTCCCCTCTTTGACCCTTCCCTGCCGGAATGAACCTCTAGTAAAATAACTCCTAGAGGCTCTATCAACCGCCCGAAATGATTTACAAAATTTCAACCCTCCCAAAAAATTCAAGTCTCGAGTCTATCCGCTCCAAATCTTTTCACCACGTTCATTTGTTCCCCAGGTTTTTGAACTTATACTCTAAAAGCCAAGTATATAGCCTCATCTTGAGTTCCATCGCAGCGGATTGATGCTATCTCGGAGCTCAAATCTGTAAACAAACAAGGCCTTGAGATAAAGTGGGAGGAAATCACCACATAAGAACAGTCAGAAACCAAGATTTGCGCAAGGAGAGCTACAATTAAGACGGAGCATCCAGACTCTACATGGTGGCTAGCATATATGTACTTGTTGAGAATAATTAAGAGGAGTCAAATTATAGTCTTGATATATACAAGTAAAACGGCCACAATTGGGCCGAGCCAAGATTGGGTGACCTAGGAAATTTGCATGAAGTTAGTTGATCTCACATCTACGGAGGATAAGGAGAAGATCCAGCAGCAAGTCAGCAGCAAGGAATTGCGTCATTATCGGAAGCAGACCGAAAAAAAAGAAGAAGAAGAAAGAAAAAAGTGTGGACAGATGGACTTACATTTTGAACAAGAATCCAAGAAAGCAGCGGGAGAGAATCGGGAAGGACAGTAGGGAGAGGATGATCCGTGTGAGAGAGGAAGGAGGTGGGAGAACTTAGGGTTGAGCTCCGAGATCGGAAGCAACTGGGGAGATACAGAAGAGAAAAGAGAGGAGAGGCAGAGATAGAAGGGGGAGAGGGAATCGGGCGGCTGGAGCGGAGCGGGATCTAACGGTCAGGATGGATTAGGGACCATTAATGCTGACAACACAACTCAAAAGGACAGGAGGGAAGTGGAATCGGTGCGGACTCAGGTCAGAGAGAGGCTCTGTGCGTTTGGTGATTCCGTTTAAGAGGCCAAGACTGTCGCGTTGTGACTAATTAAGTTGGAATTCACTGTTCACCTTCACCAGATTCTCGGTTTGGTAATTTTGTTGCCCTCCCAAATCATATCTAATTTTGTTGCTCACCTCTTTCTTTCATCGCACCATCCCATCTTCCAATCGCCTCCTCTGAATTTAAGGCATGCAATCCGCTCTTGATATTTTCTTTTCTGAATAAACATAACTTTTAGCCTCTAAATTTTATTTCAAATCTCTAAATTTTTATTTTTTTTATTTTTTAAATTTTTTAAAATTTCTATACTTTGCTCATAAAAAAATAAATAATATAAAATAAAAATATAAGGACTTAAAATATTAAAAAAAATTATTGAGACCAAACACAAAACATAATTAAAGTATATAGATTAAAAGTTATGTTTATTTTTTTTTCAATTATTTATTAATTATTAGCTAATTCTTTTTTTACTTTCCCTTCACCCTACTAGTTAATTGGTTGAGACGTATTAATAATTTAAATTTGAATTAGTACCGGCCATTGATATAGATATTGTTTCACAGAAGTTTGATAATTTGATCGTATAATAATCAAATAAATGATGATTAACATTCAAACCCAAGGGCCAAAACTGATGATCAAAGGCTTGTTGGTTTGCTCTCATTTTATATTTAGAAAAAAAATTTTACTTTTAAAATGTTAAAAATTATTTGAATAAATATTTTGTTAAAAACATATCTTGATAGCACATTTGAATAGTGATTGAAAGTGAATTTAAAAAATATAACTATTTCAAATTTTAAAAATTAAAATGTTATTTGACCATATTACTTAAAGTTTAATTTCTTATTTTTATTTAAAAAATATTAATTTATTAAAAAATATAATTATCATTTCAATAATAATAATTAGGTATTAAATTTTATCATTGTAAATTGAATAATTAATCATGTTAATTTTTAGCATCAATCCATAATAAAAATTATAAATCTTTATCACATTTTTTAAAATTACAAATTGAAAAAGTATAATTAACTAGAGATCAAGTTTTAACATTATAGATTAAATTTTTGTTATTTAAATATTTATCATATTTTTAAATATTTTAAATATATTACATTTGTGTAATAAAAATTACAAATCATAATAAAGTAATATTTTTTATATAATTATACATTTAAAAGTATATTTTACTATCATAATTCAAACAACTTTCAATATATTAAATTGACTTTTACAAAAAATATATTTAAACATAAATTTTATTATAATAATTTATTTTTATTAAACTAACTTTTGTCAAATGAACTTTTACTAAATAAACTTTTAATAAATTAAAAATTAAATATATGTTAAATATGTTTTGAAATTATATTCTTGAAATGTTGATAAGTTGTTTTTAATTAAAATGTAAATTTTTTAATATGAAAATTTTAAATGAAGACTGAAAATAAATAAAAAAGTATTGACCAAACATCATAGTACATCAGAAGAAATGCTGCTAAGATATGGCAGCGGCACGTAATAGAGCGTACCTGCGCTGCGCAAGCGACGATGATCATCAAATTCAAATGCATTTATTTTGTTTCTCTTGTGTTTGCCTTTTAATCCCTTGTAATTTTTTTTTTAGTATATTTGTGACTACGCCTGTACAAAAGACAAGACAGAATCAAACTTTAGATTAATTTAAAATTTGATTTTTTTTTATAAAAAAAATTAGGTTAGATAGCCTATAATTCAATCTTGTTCAAACAATATTTAAATATTAATAAGATTAAATTTAATCTACAAGATTGAAAGATTAATTCTATTAATCTAATACCCACTTAGCTTTTTTTTTATTTTTTTCTATGAGAGACAATAATATATTTTAATCTAATAAACTTTATAATAAAAAAAGTTATAATAATGATAAATCCATAATAATTTTCAACAACAGGAAAAAAATTTTTGTTATAGTCAAGATGATTAAATTTATAACTTTAATAAAAACAACACTCAATAGACTTCAATAACACTACATTAAGACAATAATTTAGTAACAAACTCAACAAATTTTTATACAATTATCTCCTTAGCATAAATTATACTTGAAGTATTTATTAAAAATAAATTAATTATAATTATATTAAATAAATTAATAAGATCGAATTAGACCAAGTGATCTAAATGTCCAATTTCTTATCCAGTCCAAGCAAAAAAAACTAGTCTGTTATCTTTTTTAGTCTTAAAAAACTAGTATTTATATAGATCGAACAAGACTGAACTATCTCAAGTCAGACTGAGCCAAGCAAAATTAGGACCATATTCTCACCAGTAAAGAAAAAAATGATGCTGTTTGAAAAAGAAAAAAAATACCTCTGCTTGTATCAAAGCAATTGATTGGAATTCCACTCTAATTTATAAAATATTTTTAAAAATAATATTTAAAATATAAAATTTTTAATAAAAATAAAATTTTATTAATTATTTTTAAATATTAATTTTTTTATGTATTCTTTTTTAATAACCTTTTATAGATAAAATATTTAATAAAGAGTATTTTTAAAAATATATATTTTTATTGTAAAAAATAAAATTTTAAATTATGTTCAATAAATTTTATTAATATATATAATTTTATCTTGTAAATTAAAATGTAATATATCAAGCACTTTATGGATTTGGTAGAATAATCGGATTAGTTCAATATTTTTGTCCCTGGTAAAAGAGATGTCCAGCTGTCACCAGAGACGGAAAAAGAGTCATTCAATTTCTTGAACAGTGTGGGCTAGTACTTTATGTACCTATGTAATATTTTATCTCCAGCTCCTCTTGGTACGTAAGCGTGATGGGGTTGCGGTAGATTACACATATTTCTTTTGAAGTTTTTTTTTTTTTTGGGGCAAATTTCTTTTGAACTTTATTGCTTTTCCAAAACAACACATATCTAAGATCCACATTTATGCGTGTCGGATATGACACATTGATATTTTATTTTTTAAAATATATGACACGTTTTTAATACATTGATATACATTTATAAAAAAACAATAAAAATATTTAAAATATAATTTCAATTTAAAAAATATTCAAAATAATATATATATATATATATACAGGGCGAAACCAGGATTGAAAGTGAGGGGGGCCAAATTTTAATGTAGGTTGTTTGTAATTTATTTTTTAAATTTTTTTAATATTTAAGAATAAAAAATTATTAAATATTACAATAAAACTAACATATAAAGCATCAATTATAAATGTAATAAGAAAGATAACATATATGACATAAATATTAAATTTCACTTTTTTACTAATGATAATTTAACATTCATCATGTATCAATAATACTTCTTCCATTTAAAAATATAAATTAATTTTAATCAAATTATATTTTTCAATAGATTAGTTAATTGTCCTTAAATCGATGCTATCTTTTTATGTTTCCGTCAAGCGGTATATTTATTAAGAATTTTTTTTTTATCATTAATTACACATTGTAAAACTAAAATTACCTTGTATTTTAAATATCTAATCTTTTAAAAAATATTTTATATTTTTAAATATAAGAAATATTATACAAATAAGAAAGTATAGTTATATATGTAAGTGAGAGGAAGGGAGGGTAATTCCCCCCACCCTTTTTTTTTTTTGTAAGAAACAGTAGGAAGGCCACCCAACCCATGCACAATACACACGTGCATAATATATATGAAGGGGCGATGGAGTTGGCCCCTCACAATACACCAAAGTCCATCTCTACATATATAATTATTTATAGTAATATAAAGTAAAACATAATTATTAATTATACTTTTATTTTATTTGTATCTAATTGCCTACCACCTAATTTCTACTAATAGGTAAAGATGATATGGTATTACTATATTCTCCCCGCTTACCGTCATCTAAGAATTATGTAGCTTCCATATCAAGTTTATCGAGGGATAAGTTTGTCACTCTCAAAAATTTTTTTTCCTACTTGGAAGGGTTAGCTAACAGCCAGAAAAATAGGAAACAATTCAATGCAAATTTGGTTCATAGTAGTTGATAAACCACTTATACCATGCAACAATAAATCTTTACAACCCTTAGAGGCCTCTATAAAAATGTGAACATGTCCAGAATATCTATGTGCCATCTTTGCTAGAAAAAAAAATCAGCACAGTGGTTCACCTCACAAGGAGCATATGACAAAGTAGTCCACTAGTATTCAGATATTCTAAGTTGAGCTTCAATGGTTTCCTCGTAAAAAGGGATGAGTTGGAGAAACACCTATGTAGATCAAATTAATGGCACCTAGTGAGTCGACATGAATATGGAAGTTTTGGATATCTAATTCTTTACAAAGCAATGGTTGCCTGTATTTCCGCCACGATGATAGTTAGTTATCCCATCTCACACATAAAACCCGCAACCTAATTCCCTTCAAAATCTTAATCAAATTGCCACAAGTTGTACCATTTGATTCGTTAATCGAGGCATCAACATCAACTCTTAAATTGTTACTGGTTGGAGCTTCCCACCTGGCTTCTATTCAGCAACCATTTAAAGGTACTCGAGTGGTAGAAAAGGAAGTCGCTTTCTAGCATTTGTGATATGCATTTATGGATAAATTATCAGCATTATGTCGAGTCCCTTGGAAAAGGTCTTTACATCTTAGAGTCTAGAGAAGGCAATAAAC